TTAAGTAGGTATATAGCCCAACCCTACACTAATTCCTTCCGATGCAAATGCTTACATCTAAGGGAGTTAGTCCCAAGTACACATGTATAGGATTTACTTCTCTGATACTGAGACTCTCTCAGTTTGTGAAAATAAAGGGGGTCTACAGAAATATATGAGTGAATATAAAATAAAATCTACAGATCACTTACTGTATGCATAGGTTCTGAGAAGGAATGTGTTTCTTATTCCTACAACATTGTTTACATTCAAGTCAAACTCCACACAGCTAGGGGGGGAAAGAATAAAAATTTACACAATCATTTCACAAACAAGCCTGTGTTATTCAGTCATAACTAAGACATTGGATAATGGAATATCTTGGATTTTTGTACATAAAACTGTATTTCTTCTTAACCTAAAAACAAGGCAAAAATGTAGAACAGAATCCATATTTCACTTCCGCTCAGATGAATTATGCTGTGATATGCAGCTAAACAAAATAGGACCACAATAATTTATTTTTCAATATTTATTGTTGCCGTTACAATCTACCTATATATTTTTATCCTGCCCTTTCTCCACTGTGCTATGCTTCCTGTATGTAGTTCTCCCTTTTTCATTTTACCTTTACAACAAACCTGTAAGGTGGGTCAGGATGAAAAGGTGTGACTGGCCTACAGTTACCCATCAAATTTCATGGCACAGTGGGGATCAGGGTCTCCAAATCCATTCTTACCACACCAGCTCTCAAATAAAACGTCTTATAACCCTATATGATCAGCCCCTCATGAAAAAAATGTAAAAGGTAACAGAACCCAGTATTTTTGCAGTGAAAAAAGGTAAAGGTAAAGGTTCCCTTGCTCGAAAGCCAGTCGAATCCGACTCTAGGGTTGTGGTGCTCATCTCCGTTTCAAAGCCGAAGAGCCAGCGCTGTCCGAAGACGTTTCCGTGGTCATGTGGTCGGCATGACTAAACACCAAGGCGCACGGAACGCTGTTACCTTCCCACTGAAGTGGTGCCTATTTATCTACTTGCATTATCTTGCTTTCGAACTGCTAGGTTGGCAGGAGCTGGAACTAGAGACGGGAGCTCACTCCGTCATGCAGCACACTCGGGTCTCGAACTGCTGAGCTACCCACCTTCCACAGCCTGCAGTCTTAACCACTTGAGCCACCGCAGCTCCTATCATCATCCCAGAAGTATCTATGGCTTGAGTCAGATGAAATGAAAGCGCTGATTTGGTACAATATGAAAGAACCTTGAAGGTGCTTCAGACTTGCACAATTTCTCCTCCCCCTTTGTTCAGTGAACTAATTACTTTGGGTATCGTGGCATATCACAGAGTTGAACCCCATGGAAAAGCTTGTGGAAGGAGTTGAGAAAACAGATCTTTACCTACCCTTTCCCTTTTCCCATCAGTGTATTCCCAGTTCTAAAAATTTGAAGGGTCAAACAACCATGTGAACAAACGCACCACAGTACAAGAGGTTTAAGTGAGGGTAGGTCTGCCAAGCCCCCGGATTCCTTTGCCTGCTGTCACTTGGAGCAGCTGTGGGACTTTTTTTAAAAAATGCAGCCTCATGTACTTAATGGAAGTAGAAAAGGTAGCTCTAGGAATCACCAGGAAGTCTATGGTTTTACCATGGAGTTATCAGCAATTCCTAGAGCTACCTTTTCATACTTCTGGTAAGTACACAAGGTTGCATTTTTTAAAAATTCTCCCACAATGCTGTTCCCTCTTGCCAGCTGCCAGGCATTGCCCGGCAACCATAAGTAAGGTGAAAATATCTCCTTTTCGGCTGATGGCTTACGTCAGGGGAGGAGGTGGCTACTTCACCTGATTTTTCCTCATTGAAGCCTGTTACACTGTGTTGCATTTTGTTTATCAGCCCTCCTCTTTAGAAAGGCAAAGAGCATACTATTGGGATTAGCAAAAGGTGGGGAAAGCTTTGCTCCTCCAGCTCCTTCCATGAACTTTTCTGCAGCACCAAATCCAATACATCTGAGCCATACCTGCCCTACAAACAAGGACTGCAAAGTAAAACAAAGCCACTGGTTTCAATCCAAGCTTCCATGACAGATCACAGTTCAGTGCACTCAGATCAGCAGATTATGGTTTCTCATGAAAGATAATAGATTAGCTTGTCATAAGGGAGTGAGATCACGAGTGGAGGAGGCCCAAAGCTCTTTGAAGGATTAACCATGTAGCTCCCGACCCATGGCTGGGCATTGCATCTCAATCCAATCAGTGTTTGCCACAGCACACATATAAGTCCTTTCAATATTACTATTTCTACAATGGAGCAATTTGCAGGCACATTTCATAAACGAAAGTTGTTAATTCTGCATGTAGGTAACACTAGAAATACAATTGTTGCAGGCACTGATTAATGTCTTTAAAAAGAGACGCAAGCAGTTGCCCACGGCAGCCTGGACCTACTTCTCTTCCACTTGGCAACTCCACTTCAGTCATCCTCGCAAGGCAGAGAGCGGGGGGGGGGGGGGGGGGGGGAGCTGTAAATATTTAGTGTAGAAGGAAATAACCCTTTGCCGTTTTATTATTTGTTCCGATGCTAAGCACAGGCAGCAATGAAGAACTCTCAGCCCTGACTCTCGCTCCACAGCAATGCCCGTATTCAAATAGATGCACCATTTATCAATGTCCTGAGAAAATGAATTCAAATGAATTCTAAAGCAGCATTGAACAACTTAATGTAATTACAGTTACCACCAATGTTCCCTCTAAGCTGTGGAGTCTTGTGAGCAAAAATTCTCCTTTGTGAGCTACTGGCATGAAAGTTGTGAGCAAGAGATTTGGCTACTGCATCAATGAGTGTGCTCTGGAGCCATCCTTCCTGAGCAAAGACAAAAAATGTGTGAGCCGGAGGCTAAAAAACAGTGAGCTAGCTCACACTAACTCAGCTTAGAGGGAACACTGGTTACCACAATGGATTACTTTTGTTGGAAGCTGCTTTTCTTGGAAGCAGCAATAAAGGTACAAAATCCACTTCCAGGTTACTATGAGAAATAGGAAAGCCCAACAAAGCCAGTGGGAGAGATGCTGAAAAGAATCAAACTGGTCTCCCTATTGATCCTTCACAAATAACCAAGCAATAGCAGGAAAATGACACAATCATCAAAATAAAACCAAATGTGGATCTCAGGAAAGAGCTAGAATAGCAGGGACTTCTCCCCACCCCAATTCACCCACCAGGAAACAGAAACTAAACCAGGGCCAGCTCCAAATTTCTGCATCACTTGCTCACCTCCCCACTTCCCTCTAGGCACAGAAACAGGAGTGGCCCATGTCCAAGGACTGGCAGCTATTGCCCTGAGGGAGACTAGCAAACAGGAAAGTGTGGCGTGGCAGTGATTAGGCACCACTGCTACTGGCTTGTTTGCTTGGGTTGTGAACAGTAAAGACCACAACCCCCTGCCACTCACTTGCCCCACTCAGGGTGGAAACCATGGGGGCAGCCAACAGTGGTGGGTTCTCCCAGGACCTCCCACACATACAACAAGCATCTAATTAATGCAACTCCTAACAAACAAATATAATGCAAAATATGAATTTGCTTCAAAGAGCTCATTTTACAACCCTCTTTCCCTCTCTGACCAAACGAGATTGTTAATTTTCATTGCAAAAATGCTTCTCCCTCCTTTTTTTAGCTAGTACAGTGTGGGGTTGACCTGGATAGTAACAGTGACATTTATAGTTTATATGTCAGTAGGTAGAAAGGCACGATATGGTGTAGTGGTGCAATTACAAGAATAACCCATCATCCCAGCTCAAATCTTGCCTCCGTCATCAATTCACTAAGCAGCCTAAGTCAAGCCACTCTCAGCCTCTGCCCTCCCTATCAGCTACATGGAGAAAACACTGTCCTACCTACCAGGATTGTTCTAAGGATCACAAAGAAGCAACAACAAATAATAAAGAACAAGAAGCCCTTTGGACATTGGATGTTTTATATTCCTGCTAAGTATTATTATTAAGGATTTAGCCAAACGTCTTGTAAGGGAGAAGTGGACTGGAACAGAAGCATGCACTGTTCTATAAAGAAATCAGATCAGATATAATCCGCAGCATGCCTATGAGAAACAACAAGTGTCCACTGGAGAACAATCTTTCCAAGGGTTTTGCAAGAAATCTGTCCTATCACACACCCCATCTGCAAGTCAGCCACTCTCCCCTGACCCAGTTAACCCACATATTAGGGGCAGGTCATGCCCTCATCTAGACAATGGGGTGGGTCTAGGTAGCCTTCCTCCAACTTAGGTGGCTCTTCCTGCAGCAGACAAGCCACTTGAATTAGAGAAAGATTCTTTAGATTGCAGGAAGGCTTCAGACTTGAGCCAAAATGAAAGGTGGGGTACAAATATTTCAATGAATCAACAAACTTTGTTCAGTGGAGTGGAAGGATCAGGGCAGGATCCACCCCAGTATAATAAATCTCATCCCTTTTACATTTTCTTAAAAATGTGAATGGAAGCCAGTCATTTCTGTGGGAAAAACTGAATTCAACCCATCACTCTAGCTAGCATTTTACTCTAACAGGAAAAGAAAAAAGGTATTCAGGGAGGTATCAAAGATGACAATGAGACAATGAAAGGCTGGAAAAGGTAATACATCTTTAGACCCCAATGGAATGTGAATGTTTGATCTGCTGATATCTGCGGCAATGCCAAGTAATGGATAAAATAAATGTAACTTTATAAAATTGACGCAAACTGAGAACATTGTTTGTTTTCAAAGTATAGGCTACACCACCTTTCGGAACTAAGACTTAAATGAAGAACAGCAGTAATTACAAGTACTTGCCTGACTTTGTCCCTGAACTTTACTATTGGCACTTTTGCTCGAATCAGTTGAGGTCTCTCAATGTAGCTTGCTGGTGGGGAGGGGAGAAAAGAGAAAGACAGATCATCATTCAGTACAAAGTTTCACCATATATTGAGTACTCTGACTGGAAGAGGTCTTTCACATCACCTACTGCTTGAGCCTTTGAACTGGAGATGCCACGGATTAAACCCTGTGAACTTATGCATACAAAGCAGAGGCAAATCAGAACAAGAGAAATATTCAAGTCTGTCCCTTAGCTGCTGGATATTACTATTATTTATTCATGTGAAAATTTTGTTCAGTTAAAAATTTTAAAAGCCATTCCTCACCACATTCTTACTTTGACTAAGAATCATTTCATGCTTTATGGCATCTAAAAGAGCCAGCCAAGAAGCATTTCTGCATGTGTTGTTTCCACAGAAGGGGTTGGATCCAATGAAGTGTTTCTGCAGGTGCAAGGACACCTGCTTGCAAAATGCACCTTTGACTGGTCATCCCCCACCTCAATAGCCGAAAATGTCCACTGAAATCCTGCTCCCCAGGAATAGGACTGGTGGGGTTGAGGCTGCAGTGAGAACAGGGAACCTAAGGAAGTCATGAAGACATACAACCCAAAGTTCCTGTTTGTGAAAATTGTAAGGTATCACCAGTCATTCCACCACATAATAGATTAGAACTTACAAAGTTTCCTACAGAAGAGTTTTTGGAGTAAGCTGAGTATATGTCTTGCTTCAGTCTTCTGATTAATCTGAAATAAATTACAATTATAAACCGCGTGACATAAAACAATACACAAATATTTTGTTTCAATAAAATTATAAGAAGCAAATTTACCAGATCTTTTTTAGATCTCCCTTACAACATCCTAGGCATTTCCCTATCACCCACTTCCCTAACGTGAATAAATTACAGGGCTCGATCAAATGGTATCTATTTTCCCCATAATTCACCACAATATGTTCTTCATGCTAACACATGTTCCTTTGCTAACATTCATAGAGGAGGCAGCGAAATGAACTGAGCAGAGAGAGTAACAGATTATGGTTCCTAGAACATAAATTGAAAGCACTATGAATAAGGTATATTAGCGTAATTAGCACTGCTGGTTTAGCCACTCATTAGGGACTTTCATAAGTGATGTTAACAATACACCTAAAAAAATGATTGACGCTAATGCAGCATGTAATGCAGGAAAACACCACTTTTACTGTGAAAGACAGTGTCCCAAAATGTGATTTTATTCAAATTATCTGGTGGAACTGAGCTTTCCATTTCTATGAATAGATACAACTTTAAATGATGCACATCATCCCACTCTCTACCACAACCCCCAAACACAACCTGCAGGCTTATGCTTGGAGGGGGAGGATCTTTTTCCTGTTCTAGTAAACTTTTTAAAATTAAAGCATTCACATCCTGCCTTTCTTTGTGATCCAAGGCACCTTACAATAATAGTTTAAAAACATTTTCTGTTAACACCAAAAATAAAATAGCAAACCCCAAATTGAAGTGAGGCCTTCTGTCAATCCTTATCACATACAGTCACGGGTGGGTGCATCTGCTTCCCCCCACGCACATAAGTAACAGTTACTCCAAATTTTGCAAACCTCTCATATTATTTATTTATTTGTTTGATTGTATACCCCACCCTCCCCGCTGAAGCAGGCTCAGGGCAGCTCACAAGAATAATATAAAAACAATTATGATATAGATAAAACCATCTAAAACAGTTCAAAACATAAAGTTCTAGCTGGTTGTAAACTAATATTACATATTACTGTGCATGTGTGGTAAAGAGGGTCCTATGTAGCTGTCAGTTCATCAGGCAGAAAGATTAACAGTTGGGCTATGAACTGATGCTAAGAACTCAAAAACATTAACACTTGACCATGCACAATGCAGCAACAATTTCATCAATCAGGTTCCGACAAAAACTGCAAAAATCCTTAACGCCCTGATTTTAGTGCCTCTTGCAAAAATAGCTATCCATTTCATTAGCACCCCTTTAAAAGGGACATCTAGTTTCTCTTTCATGGTAAAAACTGGCTATCGGTACAGGAACTGGAAATTCAGACTGCATTTAAGTTTGCAAAAGATCTCTGACATCATTTCCAAGTGCCACAGTGTGGCATTCCTTTAGACCTCTTTTAGAAAGGATAACAGAGTAGTCAAAAATTAGTATCTTAATTAGCCATACAGTGTGAATAGTTGTTGTTTTTTTCTACTTACTGGCTCCTCCTTAACCACTAGGCACAAATCACCATCACTGCTACGCGTACCAAATCCATTCAGTGAGGATCCAACCAAATATAGTCTACTATCTGCAGGGCGAGAAAGTGATAGCTTAAATTCAACTGTTTAAGAAGACTCATTTATTTTAAAATATGTGTCGTAAGTGTGGAGACCCTGCAACATACTTGGAAAGATCTGCTGAATTTCCCTTTGGAGTTGTGTCCGGCAAAGCTCTTTTTTGTTCAAGTCATAGGTTTGTTGTTGACATGCCTGAAATAGCTCCAGTACTTGTTGACTTAGCTGTTTGATATAGAAAACGATAATAAAAAATCATCTTTACCATGTGCATAGCATACCTATGTACACAAACCCCCATTCAAAAGCTTCTTTCAATTCCAAAGTAAGACATGCTTCTGAAGTGCCATTTTGGCAACAAACAAGCTAATACTTATGCAGGAATAGGTGGGTATAAACTACAGTACTAATGGTTCATCTCAACCCACACTAGGGGAAGCTTTCCTACAAAACTCATTGTGCCATCCTAAGCAGAGGTATAGTCTTCTTGGTCAATGGGATTAGAATGCCCTAATTGTGCTTAAGATGGCATTGCTAGGGTTCTTGGTAAGCAGCATGGAACTTAAGCCTTCAGCCAGAGAACTCTGATTTAACTGACTGAAGGGGGGGGGGTTATTAGCCATATTTTTAATTGTAAACTCTTGTTTGCCACTGTCAGGCATCAAATGTGATTAGAACAGGAAGCACACTTCACTCTACAGTAAAAAGGAATTACATGTATTTTCTTGATCAACTTTCAGAACAATGGTCATGCCAGTCCAGTTAATACTTTAGCCAGCCATTCAGGGATCAAGGAAGAGACCATGCTTTCTTAGCAACATTCCTGGGATTCCCCACTCCCTCCAACAATCAGTGGCAGCATCTACTGGCCAGGAAATCCTGGTGCACACTTACTCCCAACTCTTGGGAGGATGCCATTGCACTTACACTGGCAGAAGGACTTTGATGCCGCCCAGAGTCTCTCTGCTTATAGAATAGTGAATTTATCTGACAGGTTGATACTTCAGTTCCTCTTACAGTACATACGGGTGTGCGCTCAGTATATACCAAGCCAAATAAATACCTGAAAAATACCTTATTGGTGTTTCTCAGGTATTTATTCAGCCGAATAAGACAATCTCATTCGGCTACCAAAATAACCATGCCCTAAAAAAAGCTGATATTATTTGGCTTCTATTCACATGCAGCTAAATTACATTTAAAAAGACTGTAGTCTTCTCAAATGCCTTCTGAGTTCACTCACCAAGTTGTGCCACCATAGTGGCGCAACTGAGCAAGTGAACTCAGAAGACATTTAAAGTTTAAATGCCTTCAGTTCCCTCGCCGGGTCATGCTGTGGCAGTGGCGTGACTCAGCAAATTCAGAAGGCTTTAAACTTTAAATGCCTTCAGTTCACTTGCAGAGCTGAGCTGTGGCAGCAGCACAACTCAGTAGGTGGAATTCTCCAATATACCCTACTAGGAGAAAGGCCCACTGCAGCAATAAACACAACAATCTCTAGAAGAGGGCCTGGCTGAGTGCATCGTCATGGAGCAGGCGCCCCCCCCAGTTCCAAGCAAGTACGATGCCCAGACCACCGGGGGAGGCTGGGCTGCCTGTTTGTGAAGGTGGGGTTAGGCGGGAGGCGGACCGCCCCCTCCCCGCCCCTGGCTCGGCAGAAGAAGGGGCGCCGTCATCTTCACCCCCCGGAGTCAGCAATGGGTTGAGCAGCGGCTCTCCACTCCTGCCCCCGCCGCCTGCTGCCGGGGTTGGGTAGCGGGAGGCGGCTGATACCGCTGCAGCGCTGATGCCGCTGCAGCCCTGCAGCGAAGAAGGCTGGTGGTAGTGCCAGACAACTACAGGGTGGCTGGCAGAGGGGCTCTTTCCTGCCGCCGCCACCTCATCTTCGGCCACTTCCGAGTTTGCCAGCACCTGAGCATCGTAGCCGGGTGTGGCTGAGCGCTTGTGGAAGCGGGCCAGAGGCCCACAAGGCAAGTGGGAGCGTCTTGGGGGAGAGTAGCGTATAGCGACCTGGCCGTGTCCTGGTCCCCATCAGGACTCTCAGAGAGTCAGCGGCGGGACAGAAGGCCACCGACACCCCCCACCATTGCCAGAGGTGCCCCGTGGCCCCTGACCTACCTGGAGCCACGGAGGAGCGCAAGGCTAGGTGAAGCAGCGCAAAAGCCGGTGGCAGGGCAGGGGAGGGAGGAAAAGAAGACAAAGAGCAAGGCCCCACCGGGCTAATGAGCCCAGTGGCAGGCCTCCCCCCACCCCCAAGCCAGGGCCCACCGGCCCAGTGCAGTCAGCTGCGGCGTCGCCGGGCAAGGGCTCGCACGCCCAGCGAGGGCAGCCACGGGCCTCCCACCCCCCTTCCCCCGAAGCCAGGGCCAGCCAGGCCAGTGAGGGTGCCCACAGCCTCGCCAGGTCGGGTCCGGGTGCTTCCTCCCCCAAGCCAGGAACTGCTGGTTTTCTCCTCTCTTCCTGGCAGGGGGCAGAGGAAGTCCTGGGCATGGGGAGAGCGGGAGGAGGACGGTGGAGGTCGGCGCAGTGGGCTGGGTTTGCCTACCCCTGGGCAAGGGGTGAGGCACCTGGGGAGGCTGCATAGGATGCCCCCGGCTGCAACAGGCCTGCGGAACCACCGTTGCCACCACCAGCCATACTCTGCATCTTCTGAGGGATTCTGACAGGGCACAGTAGCTGAAGGGGGAGTGGCCAGGGAAGAGGAGAAGACCCAGCACCCGGCCAATGGCACACGAGTACTGTCAAGTGGCAGCTGATGGGCCAATGGCTGAGGGAACGCATGGAATGTGGCCACTCCAAATCACTTTTATATAATAACGAAGGATAGGGATGGTCCCCATGGGGTATAATGGAAGCAAATACATTTGAGTTTCCCAAATCTTTACCCAAATACCAATACAATACCGATACTGGTACTCAGAAATACCAATATTTTTCAGGTCTAAAAGCAATTTCTTTTTCACACCCCTAATAGTACACTAAATATTCTGCATAGACTGGAGCTCTTTTCTTATGCAGAAATAGTAACTAGGACAGCAAACAAAACTGGAACCATTGGCCTTACCTTATCTTTGGCCACGGGGAGTACAGTTTCTATAGGGTCAGGAAATGAAGCATCTTGTAAGGGCGGCACACATCCAGTCAAATCTGAGATATAATGTGCATGAAGTAATGGCGAAGGAATTGATCCAGGGAATGAACGCCTGTGATCTTCTGGTAAAGGCACTGCTTGGCTAGCTGAAGTGGATTCACGATGAGGGGAATGAAATCGCTGGCGCTTCACTTCATAAGGAACATTTTGCTCTTTTAGTCTCCTAAAAAAATGTTTTAAAAAGTATTGGCTATTCCAGTTCTGGTACATAAATATGCAATAATAAAGCAGGTTGATTGCAAACAATGTAAATGCTACCAATTAATCACTGTGAACATTCCCACAAGATGATATATTCTTTTTACAGGACAGGGATTCCCAGCCTTGATATAGAGAAAAGAAAATCTAACAGGGAACCCAAAAGAATGCATAGACTATTGACGCAGAATGCAACAACTGCTGAATGTGTGCCCCCTGGAAAGAGGCAACCGAAATGCAACCTTAATACATACAGTTTTCTTTCTGAAATATACACTATTCATGGAAGTCATTCTGAACGTCAAGAAGTGCTGCAGTGAGAAGTTGTGTGCAGTGTGCACCCAGTGAAAAAAGGTGGAGGAAAGAGGGTGAGTTGAGAAAGGAAAACTTACCACAACAGCCATTCAAAATGTAGAATGTGTCTGTGCAGGTTTAGATTATACAGACAGTAAAGTGTTTGATCTGGGCAAAAAAGAACCTCTATTTCATTTGGCAAATATTTAAAGATCCATGCAGTTAACCTGCATTCAACTTATTGCAAAACTTATTACAAAATTCATTACAAAATGTCTTGCTTCCAAAAGCCTTCATAAACTTGGCATGATTCTGTTACTTTCCAAACATACACTGTCAACACTAACTACTGATTAAAATTCCTGCCATTATACTGTAGTCACAGTTGTAGTCAGCTACTTGTAGAGCAAGAGATCTTTGGGTTACAGTCCTAATGTCAATCAGGCCTCTGACATCAGAAAAGCTACAGCTGTCACAAGGATGTCGAAAAGGGCACCGAACACTGGATGAAAAGAAGATGCCCAGAAATTCAGATAATCAGTAGATTTAAACTGATCTTTAGTGCGACTTCAGAGAGAATACTGAGCAGAAGTTGAAATAGTACTACCCTAAGAAATTGAAAAAGAGTGAGCTCCCGTCTCTAGTTCCAGCTCCTGCCAACCTAGCAGTTCGAAAGCAAGAAATTGCAAGTAGATAAATAGGTACGACTTTGGTGGGAAGGTAACAGTGTTCCGTGCGCCTTGGTGTTTAGTCATGCCGGCCACATGACCACAGAAACGTCTTCGGACAGTGTTGGCTCTTCGGCTTTGAAACGGAGATGAGCACCGCAACCCTAGAGTCGGATTCGACTGGCTTTTGAGCAAGGGAACCTTTACCTTTAAGAAATTGTTAAATACTTTATCATTCTAATCAACAAACTAGGAAAGTAGATGCCCAGGAAACGGAGAAGAGAATCAACACGTAGTAGGAAAGAGGCTGGAAAATGCTCACCTGCAGCCCTTTAATAACAGCCAAACCATACTTTGGCCATAGCATTTGAATGGGACCTCTCTCTTTAACAACAGCATTAACTCTATACATGCAAAAAATAATAATTCTAAATGTTTCCTGTTAAAAAATACCCAAGTGTTGAGTATGCCATCAAACAAAATTTGGAATATGAAACAAAAAGATCCCCTTAGAGTTCACTACACTGCAAATAAAGAAAGCCATGGACATAAAGTATTCTGGCACTAGAGCATGATTCACATATTGGTTTTATAACCGTCAGGGACCAAGGCATAGAGTTACTCTGGTCTTCTCTGTACCACCTCACTGTTTTCAGTAAAGGTACCCAAGAAACAGACAGGCACCCATATAACTGTGACTATGGACAGGGAGTAATCTCTCCCAAGTTTTCAGTGCCACAATTAAAGAACATGATGAGGAAAACATGCAGTGATTTCAGATATGGAAATGCACAGTAAACTTTCCACTCTGACTCCTGGGCATCTAAGGAGATAGCAATTTTGGTAAACTAACTTGTATGAACAAAGCCTAAATATTTTTTTCCTTTTTATTGAGAGAGCTATGACTATTATCAACAGGTATCTACTTTAGTGTGAGATATATATATTTTTAGAAACTGGGAGTGCAAAGGAAGTTTGGGAGGGGACAACAACTAGATTAAAGTATCGGAGTAGGATCTGGGAGATGCTAGGTTCAAATCCCCATTCTGCTGTGTAAACTCTCAGGGTGACCTGGGGCCAGTCACTCACTGTCAGCCCAACCTACCTCACAGAGTTGTTGCCCGGATAAAACAGAGCAGGGGAAAGAACCATTTCTGCCACCCTTGGTGCCTTAGAGGAAGGGCAGGATATAAATGTACTGAATAAATAAAACAATCGCTCGTAACTCCCCCCTGGGCCTTCAAGATTCTGTTCTCCCAGGGGCTTTAACAGGCTGATTTCCTCCTTTTCCCTTCAACTTTCTACTGCTGTTATCACATCACTTGTGCAGAACTTTTAGTTCTCATCAAGGTGAGTTCTTAAGGTCTCTCTCTCTCTTTGTTAATTTATGAAGCCATATTTCTACACATACCCAGGGAACCTCCTAAGTATGTAGAGGTCTCTTGCCTTATCTGTGATGCCCCTGCGGTGCCACTTTCATGGGGGCCAGCTTATTACTACGGTGTAGAAAATATTACATGGCTACAAAATCACATGTCTTATAGTTCAATACTTATACATATAGCATCCTTACTTTCTGCCTCGGAATGATGCAGGTGTGGCTGATATATGCACCGGGCTGCCATCTCTATAGGTGAAGGGTGGTGGTGAAACAGGAGGGACAGTTGAAAGATTACCACTCACCAGAGATCTAGGAAGATTAAAATGCAGGATTATTTCATATGCGTTATATGAAATGTTATCACTCATACAGTTGTTTAAGGAATACTACAGACACTTGCATGATATGACACAACAGTTTACTGACAATCTTCAAATGTATTGTGTACAATGAAACAAACTACTTCAAATGTATTGTGTACAATGAAACAAACTACTTAAATTTGATTTCCTATAAACAAAAACAGCCTCAAAGTCCCATTGGATAAGTGGAAATCATTTATTTCCCTGAAATGGTTAATTGAATAAGTGTAGTCCTGCAAAGAGGCTGAGTATTTTGTTTTCATGCACCAGTTCCCAGATACACTTACGTTGAACTTTGGAATTGTGGATGATCAATAATTTGCTGGTGATAAAGAAGAACAGGAGGTATATTCACTGGAAGATTACTGAAGAAGTTGTATTGTTGGTGCTCTGGAGAGAAGGGTGGACGACCCAAGTTGGAAGAATTTGGGAACATGCTCTTCTATGCTAAAAGTAAACATGTATTCTTCTACCTATAATCAGTATTAAAAAAAATGAAGTCAGGCAATATGAAAAAAAATCACAGTGGTTGTGTTGTTCTTAGTAAGCTTTGATAAATTCAGCTTGATTTTTGACAGCCAAGAAATTAAGAGTTTCAGAATAGCATTTTTCATTTTTGATAATTAAGGCACAAATATGTACAGAGCCATTTCAGACAAGCATCTCTTGAAAATAATGAAGATGTGCAGCTGTACTGTTCTGCCAGCATCAACAAATTATCCATTCAGGGTTCTTACAAAAAGGCATTTTAAGTTCTAAACTCCCAGAGAGACATTTCCCACAGAAGTTCAATTAAAATATTCACAAATCTGACAGCAATGCTACAAGGCCAGAAAGAGTAGCATCAATTTTGGGGGTTTTAGAGCTTCCACTGCTGTCCACAACACAAAAGATATAAATATCAGGTTTTCAAAAATTTAATTCTCCACAGAATCAAGTAGAATCTCCTAAATGGGAAAACCAAGATAAGTATTTGTCCTGTGATTCCTTCCTTCTTCCAGCAGAAAAATGCTCTTCAAATACATCTACAGGAAGATGGTTTCCATGAAGGCAACAGACTTCTCCAATCATCTGGCCCCTAACAATTGATACTCAGAGGCACGCCACCTCAAACCTGCAAGTTTCATTTATTGATGATTAAAACACTGATATCCAGTCACTCAAGAACATGCAACCTTATAAATGTTAAAACATGAACAAACAGGCTGTGGTTAAGATCTTTGTTTCAAACCCTTCTCAGTGTGCAGAGGTGACATGTATAGTGACCAAAGTTAGGGCTTTTTCAGTGGTAGCACCTTGCCTCTGGAATGTGCTGCCCCTTGTGGCTTGCCTTATGCTTACCCTTTAGATTATCAGGCCAAAACATTTCTTTTAACCCAAACTTTTAAGTAAGGGGTTCCATCTTGGCTAGCTACTTATTTGTATTATATACAAATATAATAAAGCCCACTCTATAATACAACAATACAAATATAATATAATAGAGCCTTTGCATTACTGCTACACAGCTCATTTAAGTTCCTTCAGTTAATTCAATTCAGCTAAGAAATCCCACACACTAAAACTTTTCTTCATAGGAAGGTGCTCCAAAACACTGGTCGTTTGTGTCACCCTTCCTGTACCTTTCCCAGCTGCACAACATCCTTTGTGAGAGGCAGCAGAGCTGTACACAGGATTCCAAGTATGGCTTCACCACAGATAAAGGCATCAAGGTAACAGTGCAGACTGGTGGGCACATGCTTAGGATCTTCTTCTTTTGCTCCAATTTGCATCACAACAAACTGAAACAATCTGGTATCACCTGTAAATTTGATTAGTTGCTCAGTCTAAGATAACTGAGGAACAATTTTTAAGTATCAATGGTTGTAGTTCATATCCTTATGTGACTGGCTTCTCTCCAACTATGAAAAATGTTTTACTTTTCATTACTTAACTAGACAACAATAGGACCACTCTCTTACTTTATTACATTACTCCATAGGTGCCATATATGCTCTCCTTCTTCATTTTATGCTCATAACAACCCCGTAAGGTAGATTATATGAAAGAGTGACTGGCCCAAAGTCACAGTGAGCTTCATGATAGTGAGCTTCGTGGTAATAAAGGCTTTTAAATCAGGTATCCTAACTTCTAGGCCAATAATCTACATTCTGCATAACACTACCAGTCCTATGCTATGACTCTTAAGTATTATTCAAGACCTTTTTGCAAGGGCCTGTGTTTTTTAAAATAATTTTTTTCCCAAAACTCAAGAAAATAACATCTACCAGATCACACTTTCAAATAATTTCAAAAGCTGGTGATGTAGACCTTCTCTTTAAAGAAATCATGTTGACCCACTCTGAACAAAGGCTGTTCTTCTATACATTTGATTTTAACTCCCCGTTCGTAGGGAGGGGTATAAATGCAAAAATAAAATAAAAAAATAAAAATAAAAAAACTTCCAACCATTCTCTTGAAAGAGATATTGGGCTAATAGGTCTGTAATTTTCCAACTCCTATCTGCATCCATTTTTTTTTTTAAATGGTGTTAAACTAATACCAATCCTCTGCTAAAAAGACCGACTCTAGTACTGAAGAGTATATCTTTGTTAGGCAATTAGCAATTTTACATTTGAATCCATTAACAACTCCTAGGTGTAGTAGCTGGTCCCAGTGATTTACTAATTTGTCAATTACCCCTAAAACTTCACCTTACCACCCCTATTTCAATGAGTTTACTGCTTTTTGGAAGGGCCTGCTGCCAGTGGACCTGTACAGAGAGCAAGAACGCTATGCCTCCTGACTCTTTTTGAGTGCATGTTGAGTAGAGCTGCAGGATGGTGAGGTTACTTTGTGATGGAGTCTATTACTCCATGGCTCTGCTAGATTGCTCTTCACTACAGTACACTCACCTCACCTTTCTGTTTTCTGCCCCCAAATCTCTCGGTCTGCTGTCAACTATCATAGCCCTTCCCCTGGCGTTAACATTAGCTACCCTTCATCCTACTGCTCTGGTGTAACATGACTATGAATTCAAGTACAGGTAGCTCAACAGGTTCCAGAACTGAAAAGGGTGAAGACCACTGCAATACACCTTTCCCTGCTCTTTCTACTTAGGTTTGTAAATTCTTCAAACTTCATAATCTGCTCTGATTCTCAGTGAAAATGACAGGTTATAAAGTTAATAATGAATAGTAATGATTTATATTTCTCCTTTCAATTATTTTTAATCTCCAAGGATAGAGCTATCCCATACTTTCTACCAGATTTCTTATAGACACTCTACAGCCATGATTTTCAACCAACAGTTGTGGCCAGCAAAGGGGCTGTAGAGTCCCAATTTCTAAATCACAAGATGCCCTTTTTTACTGCTTTTGGGGGGATTTGCTTGCAGCACGCATAATTACAGAACAACAGCTCTTGTAAAATAAAAAACAAAACAATCACACAGCATGACATCCAATGAATCAATGCAGTCCAACGAAGAACAAAAAAGCATTGCTACAGCTGGCAGCACTGCATTGCTGGATCTCAAAAAGTAAATTTTAGAAGTGAGTCCCACTTCACAAAATTAAAAAATGCTTTACACCCTCATGACTGAGAATTGGGCAAACCAGATGCTCTTTGGTAGTTCCAACAATGATAAGCAGACAGTGGATAAGTATAGGAGTAGCTTTCAAGCGTTTTATCGAAAGACAAGCATTTCCATTGATTTGTCTAAAGAAATCCTTCATCTCTGCCTTGGGATTCTTGTGCACATCAGAGGATTTTAGAACATATTCTAAAGCACATATTCAGTCACACAGAGCACTGCTGTGTGTGGAGAAAAAAAGCAACCCAGAACACTTTCAATGCTACCCTACAGAACAAATTTAGTATCCACTGCCACCGATTACCAAGAAAGGTCCACAATAGTGGGCCCCAAGTCTTTTTACAAAAACTTGTCTATCTTTTACAAAACTCATCA